CATAGTCTAAAACTAGTATCAGGCACCATAAAAGTAAAAATGAAAACAGTGAACCAGCAGCAACAACGTTTATAAATCCAGCCCCCAGCCCCAGCCCGTTACCTGCCCGTTACCTGCCTGCTACCTGCCTGCCCCAGGCTCTGCAAAGTCTGGCTCTGCTCCTGGGGAGCAAGGTAGAGGAGTGTTTTCTTCTAGGAATTTTAGTTTCAGATCTTATCTTTAAGTCTTTAATCCATTTTGAATTGATTTTTGTGTACAGTGTAAAGTAAGGGCCCAATTTTATTCTCCTCCCTGTGGATCCCTAGTTTTCTCAACGCCATTTGGTGAAGGGACCATTCTTTCCCCATTGGGCCTTCTTGGCGCCTTCGTCAAAGGTCAGTGGACCATATGCGTGAATTTATTTCCGGGCTCATGGCAGTGTTTTCAAGGACATGATATCAAGAAGACAGGCAACAAAAAGAATCAAGTGGGACTACATCAAACTGAAAAGTTTCTGCACAGCAAAGGAAACCATCAACAGAGTGAAAAAGCAACCTATGGAATGGGAGAAAATATTTGCAAACCACATAGCTGACAAGGAACTAGTCTCTAAAATATATGAGGAACTCTTCCTACATCCCAATAGCAACAAAACAAAACAAAACAAAACAAACCTAATAGCCCAATTTAAAAATGAGCTAGACTTGAGCAGACATTTTTCTGAAGAAGATATACAAATGACCAATAGGCACATATATCTGAACATAGAAATGTTAAGTGTTATTGATCATCAGGAAAATGTAAATCAAAAGTGCAATGTGCTATAACTTCACATTTATATTACGATGGCTGATGTTAAAAAAAGATAAGTGTTGGTGGGGATATGGAGAAATTGGAATCCTTGCACACTGTTGGTGGGCCTGTAAAATGGTACAGCTGCTGTGGAAAACAGTATGGCGGTTTCTCAAAAAATCCAAAACGGAGCTACCGTATATGATCCAGCAATCCCACTTCTGGGTATTCATCCAAAAGAATTGAAATCAGAGTCTTGAAGAGAAGCTAACACTCCCGTGTTTATTATAGCGCTATTCACTATAGCTAAGATGTGGAAACAACGTAAGTAAGTGTGGTCTATACACACAGTAAAATACCCTTCAGCCTTTAAAAAGAAGGAAATTCTGCCACATGTGACAACGTGGATGAATGCTGAGGACCGTATGCTAAGTGAAATAAGCCAGTCCCAGAAAAACAAATACTGTATGATTCTGCTTGTAGGAGAGGTATCTAAAATAGCCGAATTCACAGAATCGAAGAGCTAAATGGTGGGTGCCAGGGGTTGGGGGAAGTGGGGAATGGGAAGCTACTAACCAGCAGTCATAGCATTTCAGTCAAGCAAGACCAGTAAACTCTAGAGGGCTGCTGTGCAACAGCCAGCTATTGTACTGAGCACTTAAAAAGTTGTTAGGAGGGTAGATCTCGTGTTAAGTGTTCTTACTCCAACAGAAGAAAATTTTGAAAATACAATATCAAGAGAGAGAAGTGGTAACTCTCTGGGGCATTCCTTTTGAAGTTAAAGAGCGCTGAGAGGCCGCGCGCTTTCTCTGCAGCCCAGGCGCTGTTCCCCTGACCTACTCACCTGGCTGACTCTAGAGTCACCTCCGGAAGTCACCTCACCATGGTACTTGCTACAGTCCTGAAAACCACAGGATGAACTTCATGTTTATCCAGCAGCTAGCTTATGATGGAGACCTTACAGCCACTTCCTCATGGATTCTGTAGCACAACCCTCCGAGATGGGCGTTGGTTATTTCCATGTTACAGATGCGCAAACTGAGGCTCAGAGAGGCGATGGGATGTGACCAGAGCCAGAATCAGGAGCTGGGTCTGTCTGACCTTTTTTCTTTACCCTCAGCAAGCTGGGCTTGCTCTCCTTACCTCGCTCTCCTCTTGGCCCTGCATCAACCAGCCACACCTGTCCACAGAGCTGAGTTTTCCTGAACTGTGGTTCTTTGCCATTACTGACCAAATACAAGACAATTCTGGAAGATTTCAGAAGCAGGATTATTTCTCTGCCCCAGGTCATGTTTTTATGGTTAGCCTGTCATTCCAAAATGAAAGAGGCAAACATCAAAGCATTCAGTGCTGCCTTTTATTAGTAACTTGGCTTTATTTTATGGTTTGGGGGTTTGGTTTGGCCTTTCCTTTCGAGAAATTGCCCAAAACCAAAAGAGAACTTGGCACTGTCGGCAGGTTTCCGTGGGCCTCGTTGTCCCCTCCCCTCACTGGTCCATTCAGGGCCTCTGCCCATTTCTGCAAGAAGTACCCTGGGCGGCCCCTCTAGGCAGAGACCACCGCAGGGCCCACCCAGCTCTCCCCAAACAGGGCCACATGGCCACATCCAGGCCTCTTCCTCATGTCACTTATCCAGTGACTACTTTGGACCGGCTATCAGGGTCTCTGCGGCACTGTCTAGGCATGGAGAGGAGATGCAGGAGAAACAGCTGCACACCCCTGCCCTTTGTGGATTTGGGGTACAGGAGCTAGAGTCAGCCAGTCCTAGGCTCTCAAGTCCAGGTCACTTCACCGCAGCCTCCTTCTCCCCAACTCGAAAATGGGCCAGCCCCCCACCCCCAGGAGTACATGAAGCAGTGCAGACGACAGCATTTCGGGGGCCACCAAGTGCTGAGCCAACATAAGGGATGCTGTTACTGCAGTCTGAGGGGAGCCACAAGATTTCTGCACACGAAGCAGCCAGGACACTCCATAGTCCAGCATATAATCAGCTCCTTCATTATGTGGTTCCAACTGCAAGAGCTGCAGGATTTCAAAGGAAAGAGACCCACGAGGGGCCGGGACAGCAGCTGGTCCTGGGCAGGAGAAAGAATACTTGCTGCTGCAAAGCAGAAAGAGAAGGGGGTCAGAAATGGGAGGTGCGAAGTGCCTGCTCTCCGTCTTGGCCTCCCTGCCTCTGGTGTGGAAAAGCTCGGTCCCTGGGGGTTTGCTACAGAACAGGAGTTACTTCAAGGTTAATAAAAAAAAATCAGTGAGCCATAAATACCAGGTCAGCATCCTTCATCCCAGAAGGATGGAGAGCAGACAGTGATCCTGGCAGGCACCCTACTAAAACAGGTCCACCCACATCACAGGTTTTTCCACTTTAGGTCTGGGCCGGTCACACCTGGGGGTAGGGAGTGGCTTAGAATCAGAGCCTGGCTCAGAGGTCATGTAAGGTCAGCAACCCAAGTGACCGTCGATTGGTGAATGAAGAAACAAAATGTGGTCTAGCCATACAATGAGATATTATTTAGCATTGCAAAGGAAGGAAATTGCGACACACGCTGCAACATGGATGGACCTTGAAGACGTTATGCTAAGTGAGATAAGCTGATCACAAAATGCAACATGGATGGACCTTGAAGACATTATGCTAAGTGAGATAAGCTGATCACAAAAAGAGAAACGCTGTATGATTTCACTTACTCGAGGTCCCTAGAGTAATCAGATTGATACAAGCAAAGTAGAATAGTGGTTGCCAGGGGCTGGGGGTATCAATATTTAATGGGGACAGAGTTTCAGTTTTGCAGGATGAAAAGAGCTCTGGAGACGGATGGTGGTGATGGCGGCACAACAGCGTGAATGTGCTTAATGCCACTGAACTGTACCCTTGAAAATGGTTAAGACGCTCAATTTTAGGTTATGTGTATTTTTCCACAATCAGAGTTTCTTAAAAACTGGAAAAATAAATTATGTAGGGTCAAAATACTCCTGAAATTCTGCAGAAGGTAGCACATTGGAGACCCCCACTCATCTCTCCATCATACCCCAGTGGCAGGGTTGAAACATCCTGGGGAGGGGAGTTTTGGGAGGCTCATTATATAGAAAATACATCTTTCCCAACCCGGACTCACACTCAGCATGGCAGGAAGGCGCGTGAGAGGCACCATGGAACTGAGCCCTCTGCAGAGAGAGCACGGTCCCGCCTCACCCCAGAGCGTCCACTGGTGGGTGAATTGGCTGGCCGTGCATTTAACTTGGTGATATGCACAGGCACTGCCCCGGCACAGTCTGTAATCAAGTGTGTGCATGAAACAACTCTACTGGACTCGGATCTGCGTCCCCAGGACCTGGGCCAGACGGGGCTTAAGTAAATATTTATTAAGCTGAGCTGTTTATTCATTATGGAACCGTGTGTTCGTTTCAAATCCTTTCATGATGGCATGTACCCTGTACATCTCCTATTTAGCACAGAAACCAGTACGGTGCCGAGCATAATGAAAATGTCCACTGAATCACCGAATGAATGAATACCTGTTAGTAGATAAACTGGCACAAAAAATGCCTCATCCCACTCTGTCCTCCCCTCCCCCCATCCTCCTTATGGCGAGACAGTTGAGGCTACTTTAACTGATGCACCGATGGCCTTGGGCAGTGGGAGGTCCCGATGTTTCAACCTCATTAACCTGGAAACCAACTTCTACCCAAACCTTAAAACAGTCCCTTCACTTTACCACTTGAGATCCCTGAGTTAGGATGTGTGTGCAGGCACGATGGAAACAGCCTAAACGTTCACCAGTTGGCAGCTGGTTGAATAAAGTGTGATACCTCTCTACGGTACACATCCAATGTCCAGTGTAGATGGTGTGGTAGCGGAATAATGATATGGCGTTAAGTTCACGATTTACTATTTGGTCTAAGTATGTACATATTTGTCCAGATATGCCTGTAATATAAACTTGTATATATATACTGTGTGTGTGTGCGCGCGTGTGTGTGTGCGCGTGCGTGCGTGTACACACGGGTGTGGTTGCCAAACTAGCAGCAACAGCATCACCAGGGAACTTGTTGGAAATGCACAGCCTCAGGCACCACCCCAGACTTGAATCAGAAAATCTGGGGGTGGGGTCCAACAGCCCCTCCCACCCCCAGTGATTCTGCTGCCTGCCCAAGCTGGAGACCCCCTGGCTGATGGCAATCCTGACACCCCTTTCCTTCCTTTGGACGCACCTGTGTCTCTTCTCCAGGCCCTGATCCAGCTGCCCCCCTATATCTCCCAGTGTGACGAGGTGCTGCAGTTCTTTGAGACAAGACCTGAGGACCTGAATCCCCCCAAAGAGTAAGTTGGTGTGTGGACCTCCCTTGCGTGTGCCCTCACAGCCCTGCCTCCTGCCCCACCAGCCAGCCCCAGGAGGAACTGAGGGCAGCAAAGGAAACATTAAACTGGATTCCATTGAGTGAGCCCCACTGGGCCGCACTTCAGGTAGCCTTCACGGTCACTGTAGGTGGGTAACAATAGTCAAGTTTTACGGGTCCAGGAAGCTGGGTGAGTGCACGCCTGGGACCCCCTAACACCTGCACTTACACGGCACGTGTGTTGGAGCAGAGGAGACAGCCCTCAAGGCTGGCACTATCCACGAGGGCAGATGTGCTCAGGATGATTAGGGATGTGAATGAAAGAGCGACCGAGACCTGCTCCAGGTCCCATTGCCAGTGAGGCCAGTGCCAGGGTTTGATGCTGGTCTGCAGGCTCCACCGCTGTCCAGAACGCCCACCGCAGCCCCTGCCTCCCTCTCACTTCTCCCTGCAGCTACCTGTCGGTGCATATCTGCAACGGCTCTGCACGTTGTAGATTCTCAACGTGCAGTGTGCCGGCCTTTACACACCAAGAGCTGATGGTACCAACAGCCCTGCTGGCATGAAACACTGCATACTGTCCCGGGGGTCATAGGAGCAAGAGCTGGCACCTGTCAGGAAGGGCCAAGAAGGGCCAAGAAGGGCCGGCCAGGCTCTGTACAGGAGGCGAACTGCCCTGCTGAGCTCTGAGCCTGACCTAGTGCCCCAAACAGCTGTAATAACCCAGGCTAGTGTTTGTAAAACAGTTACAGTGCGCTAAGCACTTTGCATATGTCGAGCTAAAATGACTCATGTTGCATTTTGGAAATGAATCTATTGAAATCACAAAGCTTAGTTTTTAAAGTAGCCCTGCAAGGAGAAAGCGTCAAAGAGCTTTAGCTAGCGGAGTCAGGCCATTTCTGCATACACAGGCCGTGACACGCAGAATCAGTTTCAGGGGCCACAGACAGTCAGCTGATCGCTCAGCACTAATGGTGTAACCACCGCACACATGAGTAAACTTCACTTCCTGCAATAAACATATTCCCATAAAAACCATTTCCTATGACAAGCACAGAGTGAACCCAGCTTCTCAGACCAGCACGCAGATGTGTGGCTTTGAAATTAGGGAAGACATTCCACAAGGAACAGTAAACCTTTGAATCAGAACCCCATATGAGAGTGGTTTGCTGACCCTGAGACAAGACAGTTTCTTTAAAAAAAAAAAAAGTGCATAATAAGTATAAACCTGATAATATTGGGCCCTTGGCCCATCCTGGCTCGTGTTTCTGTTCTTGATGTCTTTAGCATTTGTGTCTGGGAAACATTCCCCAGCTCTTATCGATGTAACAAGACAGGGTAAAATATTCTCTCTCAAAGCACCTTTGTCTCTAGTCCTCCCGGGCTTCCAGGGCTAGACAGCCAGCTCCTGCTTCAGGGCTAATTTCTAGGTTAATCAGAGACTGGAGCTTATAGTCTTCAGTTGTCACTTATTCTCCCATGAAACTGCCAGGTAAGGAACTTTCATTCCCAGTTGACAGATGAGGAAGCTGAAACTCAGGGTAATGAAAGACATTCGCCCAGGGTCACACAGTTTGAAAGAGGTGGAGGTGACTCTTCCCCAGGTTTGCCAGAGTCTCCGCCTAAGTTCTCTGCAGCTTGTGTGTGTGCCTCCAACATGAGGGACGACCGGGCTTAAGGGAAAGAGCCTGGGTGTGCAATTGGGGTTCAGGTGCCACCTGCATCACTCGTGGGCTGTGTAGCCTTCAGTCGCCGTTACTTCACCCCTGGGCCTCGACTCCCTCCTGTGAAATGGAAATAGCAGTATGCCTTAGTGTCACAGTGAGGAGTGAAAGGCCGCCCTAAGTACAAATTCTAGGAACTTGCCAAAAGCTCAGAAGCGGTGGCCTGTGTATTTTTCCTTTCTGAACACCCAACCGGCATTGTTTGCCCATCTGCACGTGGGTATTGGGGGCCTGCCAAGTGCCAGGCCCAATGCTGGACTCAGGGAACACGGGGATGACGCGACAGGCGCAGTCTGTTGCCAGGGAGTTTACAGTCTGCGGGCCAGGCAGCCAGCTGCCCCCCGGGCAGATGGGTCACCTCCCTGCCTTTCTGCCTCAGTTGCTGTGTCTGTGGAATGAGATCATGTCACCTGTCCCACCCACGTCATGGGGTTACAGGGAGGCTGAAATGAAATAACAGGTGGGAGAATTAGGACACGGTCAACGGTGAGTTTTCTGAGTTCAGGGCTGATATGGTGGCATCCCCACCCCCATCCTGGGTATTACATTTAATCATTCAAAGGATCTTTCCTCAGTTTCCTGGAGCTAGGGTTTTATTCTGATACTTTCCAGGAGAGTCCATTTCCTCACATGAATGGGAGTTAATAGTCATACCTACTTCACAAGGTCATGCTGAGGCTTGGGTAGATGACGTGTGTGCAGTGCTTGGTGCAGTGCCTGTCACATAGTAGGTACATGGCCAGTTTTCACAGCTCCTTGGCCGTCAGGGCCAAGATGCTTGGGTTTTGCAGTCTTTTATAGATGGCATCAGAGAAGCTAATTGGTCTGTCTGATTCCTGTAAGTCTCTGGAAGGAGTGGGCACCACGTGGAGGTGCTTCTTCTCATATAAGGTCAAAGTCACGGGCCTCCCAGATGCTCACCCTTCTCCCAGCAGAGGGCCAGCTCATCCAAAAGCCTTCATGCCCCCAAAATACCAGTTTTACCACCAAGTGCTTCCTGCTTCATGTCTTAGGACCCCAAGAAGTGGGACAGGGGCTCCGCTGGGCCTGAAGAGGTGGGCATCAGGCTCGCTGCAGTGTGGGGACCTGACTTTTGCTCTCACACTGCCTGCCCCAAACCCATGAGCTCCCCATCAGAGTCCCCTACTCTATGAATAGAGTGGAGAGCTGGTCCCCAGGGCACCAGGGCACGTATCAGGCAAAGGGAGAGAATTAAGAGGAATTCATTCTTTTTTTAAGGAGTCGATCCCTGGAGCTGGCTTGGATTTTATTCATTGACTAGGGATGTTGTGGGCTGGAGAATCTCAGTTTCCTATTGGAATAACTCATTGACAATGTACAACAGATACTGACTCATTATTCTTTCCTGTACAGGGAGCATGTTGGGAAAAAGAAATCTGGTAAGAAAATGTTCCATTTTCTCCTTTTCATTTAATATTCAGCATGCCCCTACTGAGGTCCTCTGATGCTCCCGGCCCTGAGCTCCATAGTGGGGATACAGCCACATGGATGGACGGATGGATGGATGGATGGACGGATGAGTGGATGAATGGGGGATGGACGGATGGACGGATGGATGGATGGATGCTGGATTGTTTGGTTGATACTCTACCCTGTTTCCCAAAAAGAAGGATTGGAGATTATTTCATGCTATACGTAAAAACTATAAAGCAGATGAGACCTGAGAATGCCTTGGAGGAGCAGGGAAGAGAGACAGCTTTCTAACCATGCGGAAGGGTGTTAAATGCCTGTATTCTCTTTAGACGAAGGACTGTGGTAACTCAGAGCTAAGCGCGTTCTTCTCAGGTGGCAGAGAGGGGTCAAACAGGAGGGTCCCTGGAGATCCGCCGCCCTGGGTGAAGGGTGAGCAGGAGCTTTCCACCCAGCGAAGGCCATTTGGGGCTGAGGGGACAGCACACGGGCTGGGAGGCAGGGCTGTGCAGTAGATTTGGGCCAATCCGCTCATCATCCTCAGCCCCAGGCCACGCCCTGTACTTCCTTCAGTCAGCCACTGTTCTGGGCAGTGACGACTGCTGTTTCAGGCAGCTCCCATACTCACTTCCACTGTCCCCAGAGTCAGTTATTTTCCTTCCTAACGCTCTTTCCATTCCCTGCACAGCACAATTCTTCTAACAAAAACAATCGTGGGAAAAGAGAAGGTGGGACTTGGGTACGCGCAGAGAAATGGTTGAGTTCTCACAGGCCTGGGGTTCATAAATTTAGATTCAGGCGCCCGACTTTTTCTTCCTGTGACCCAGCATCATCCCCCACATCTGCAAAGGCCCCAGCCCATACCACACGTGGAGCCAACTTGGTCTTCAAAGCGTCCAGAATTCTAAGTTCTTTTATTTACCTAGGATGCCAAGAAATTTGAGGGGGCTGATAAGGATGGGGTAAGGAGGCCAAACAGAGATCCCAGAAGTAAAAAAGGAAGCCTCATCTCATGGGCCTCAGTTTCTTCATCTGTAGAAAGGCGATAATAGTAGTAATCTACCTTATAGGGTTACTATAGAATTTGTAATAATGTGTACAGAACAAGCCCAACGTGTTTGCTGCTGTTTTTATCGCTTCTGCTACTGTTAATTCAAAGCACACAGTTTCCTGTGCAGCATCAGTAGCAATTCCTATTTCAACAGCTCTGGTCCCCTGGGTGCAAGGCCTGTGGTTGGCTGTACAGGCCCCAAGGCCATTCTTGCAAGGAAGATAGGAGAGGCACTGCATCGCTTTGCCTTAAGGTATGGCGTCTGGAATGAACTCTGGCCTCTTCCCAACCAGTCTGTTTACAGCTCTGCTTTTTGGTTTAATAGGTACTGGCCAGAGTCGTGGCATCCTGTTAGAGCTGCAAATAGTTCTTGAACCCCGAGGATAATAATACGTTTCTTAGAAAAGAGCAGAGTGGCCACTCTTGGGCTGGTCACAGAGTTTCTGGCTTGAGTGTGCAGACTTTCCTGGAGGGAATGGGTGGGAAGAAGAGAGGAAAGAGACAGCTCTGGTTTGTGAAAACAAAAGTGTCCGGTCAGACAGGCTTGATGAGGGGACTGGTCTGGAAAAGAGAGAAGAAGCTCTAATTTGTGGCAACAACTGTTACATCATTCACCTGCAATGATGGGGGATGGATTTATTTTTAGTTCAGCTGGGTGGAAAATAGCATCTTTCTTCATGCAGACGAAGAACACACGCTGGGATGAGCCTGAGTTTTTAGTTGACCTTTGAACACATCCTTTATGTTAGAACCAGCCTTATTGGTTGAATTTGAAAGGGCTTTAAGGTGACAGCCAAGCCCTGAGATTTCTGTGCGAGAACTCTGAGTTGGAGAAGGTTTATCCAGAATTTCCCAGCCATGGCTGGCTGGCTGGCTCATGCAGACTCTGGGTAACGCAGTCTCAAATTCTGCTCATCCTGCAGGGAAAAAAAAAAAATCCTCCCACCAAAATTTAATAGGTCGTGTGACCTTTCTTCCTAATTTTTCTGCCCTTATTGAAATATACTCTTGTTTACTGACTCTTTGAGCAATACTGGCAGGATAATGGATTTCTGGAAAGAAAATTCCACTTTGCCATTACTCATTGTATTGGTCTGCTCAGGCTGCTGGAACAAGATACTGTAGACTAAGAGGCTTAAACAACAGAAACTTATTTTCTCGTAGCTACGGAGGCTGGAAGTCCAAGTTCAGCTTGCTAGCATGGTTGTGTCCTGGTAAGGGCCCTCTTCCTGGCTTGTATATTGCTGCCTTCTCTCTGTGTCCTCACATGGCAAGCTCCCTGGTGTCACCTCCTATAAAGACACGAATCCCCTCATGACCTCAATGAATGTTCTCACCTCCCGAAGCTGATACCATCACATCACACAGGGGTTCGGGCTACAACAGATGAATTTTGTAGGGATGCAGTTCCATCCATAGCAGTTGTTTTAAAGTTTCAAGACTGGTCATCATGAATAAAAACATGCCCAACTAGAAAATTCTTTGGTAGATGAGGCACTGGCCTCTTGAGAATATTTGATAGCACCCGCTCAGTGATAAAATCACCCTTCCACTGTTGAATCTCCTTTCTGCTCACCTTTTCCTCATCTCTTATTTCCTGCTGGACCACAAAATGCTGTTCCTTTCGTAGGACTGCTTTGCTTTCACGCTTGCAGCTCCTAGAACTTAGCTGCCAGCATCAGTTCTAGGCATTCTAGGGTATTGCCAAGACGGTGCATTGTAGAGCTTTGCTGCAGCATCACGGGCCACCAGCAGGTGTCCCCACCTGACAGCTAAAGGCCCCAAGGCCTAGTTTGAATCCTGGCATTCCTGGTTTTGATAAATTGAGTTGTTGGGGGGTGAAATGGAGTCAGGATGCTCTGGAGGAATTGGGGCTAGAAAAGCAACCCCATGGACATAAGGGCAGAGCTACAGTCAGGACTCGGGCCTGGCCCCGGAGCCAGCCTTAGCGGCAATGCCGTGTGCCGTGACCGATCTGCTCATGCCAGCCCTGGGTCCTAAACTCTGCTCCCTGCCCTCCTCATTTCCTGGCTTCCTGCCTTGTTCACAGTGAGTCCCCATTTCTGTCACTGCTCGTAGTTACCCCAAATCCTGGTGGCAGCCTGGTTAGGAGAGTTGGTGCAGAAATGAAGAGTTTCTAGAAGTTTTCGTTCATCCTTTGTTCTTTCACCTCACAAATGTCCATTGAGTGTCTGTGCTATGTGCTGAGTGGACAAGACAGACATGGTTACTCATTTGATGTTTATTAAGCACCTACTGTGCGCCTGACAGTGTTCTATGTCCCCAGGGAATGCAGACGTGAGCAAGATGTGGGACGTGGTCTCACCGTCTGGTAGAAAAGACAGTGGTGACCCTTCAACGTGGCGACTGTGCCCCCTTCTGGTTTCCACATCGAAAGTTCACAGTGCCCGGTTCTAACAAAGGGCCCTTGTGCTGCTTACCGCTGGATGTCAGAGACTGGAGCGCAGTGGTGTGCTGGGAAATACCTCACAACCACCCCCCTGGTGGACAGCCCTGCTTTGTAGCATTTGCCAGCTTCCGTGGTATAAATGTTCCCACCATGGCCAAGTTCAAGCGACCCACAAGACGCCACCCAAGAGAGCTGGGAAAAGATGCACAAAATCTCCTCAGTGTGAGCCAGCCCTCACACACCCCTCCACTACTGGGGGTTTTTGGTACAGAAATAGAGGCTTTCCTGGATATTTCCATTATTTATGGACACAGTAGGGAATCAGGACTTTGAGAAAACCAGGGTCCTGTGGCCACATATGTCATTTCGCCCCCCCGACATTCAGCCTGCTGCTCTGGATGCGCTATCTCCTTCTCTGTGGGGTGCATGAGCTCACGTGTCCCTTTACCCGTATCCTGTGATATCTTTGTATTCGTTTATCAGATGTGTCTTAGTACTTAACCAGAGCCACACAACTCCCGGGGGCACCGTCCACTCCGCGTCCCAGGGAATCGGCCTCTCCCGGAGCCCGTCTGCCCCGCTGCCCTGCCCTGGTCCACAGCCACCATCACCTCTTGCTTGACAGCCCATGACCTTCATCTGGCCTCCTGTTTGCTTTCTTTCCAGCCTCTGATCCGTCCTCCATGTGGCAGCCAGAATTATCTTCTTAAAGATGTATGTCTTCACGTGTCATTCCTTTCTTCAAACCCTTTAGTGGCTTTCTACTTCAGGGTTAAAAAAAAAACCAAACTTCTTGCGTTGGCCCAGCAGGTCCCGCCTGCTCTGACCCAGGCCTACCTGTGCGACTTCACCCAGGACCACGCTCCTCACTACTGGGCTTCAGCCACCCTGACCTCCTTCCAGATCTTGGAAGGCTCCACGCCCTGTCCCCCCTCACAGCCTGCCCACCCTGTTCTTTCTCCATCTCCTCATGACTCCTGTCTCTCAGGTCTCTGCTTTATGTCGCCTCCTTAGAGAGGTCTTGCTGACCACCCCGTTCATGCAGCCTCCACTTTCCCGTCCATTCTTTGTCCAGCTTCCTGGCTGTTTCCGGAAACGCATCTATCAAAAACGAATCCTTTCTTTTCTGGTATACTTATTGATCGTATGTACTTGTATATGTGTCTGTCTTCCCAACTAGATTAAGTTACTTGAGTCTGGGAGTCATAATCCGTTTTATTCACTTTAGTACCCCCAGCACCTAATAGAGTGTTTGGAACATCCTTGGCGACTTCATGAATTAACGGATGAGGGATTTGGGATGGATGAATTGTTGGTGAATGTATGGCTAGATGGATGGATATTTGCTTAGATAGATCAATGGATGTTTAGTTGGTTGCATAAATGGATGTTTGGATGGATGGGAGAATAATGGCTGATGGATGAGTGGGTAGATAGATCGATATGAATGAACGAACTTTCCCACTAGTCTGTCAGCTTCTTCAGGGCAAGTGCTATATCTTAAATCAACTCTGAACCTCCAGTGCCTAGCACAATGCTTGCACAGGACAGGCACTTGGCTAATATTGGTGGTTGAGTGAGCCAGTGAATGAAAGAATGAATGGATGAGGTGACCCTTGAGACAAGCCCTATAACAACTATTTTCTGTATTTGGAATGCCCTCCTGACCCTCCCTATTCCCCTGGCTCCTGCTCCTTCATGCGAGGGTGGTGGTGGCCAGATGAGACATCTGATAGTGTTTTGTATCCACAGGGAGTGACCTGACCTCGGTGGACCCCATGGTCCTGGAGCAGTATGTGGTGGTGGCAGACTACCAGAAGCAGGAGAGCTCAGAGATCAGCCTTAGCGTGGGGCAGGTGGTGGACATCATCGAGAAGAACGAGTCAGGTAGGGACCTAAACCGCCTCCCTCCCTGCCCAACACTCCCACAAGCCCCTAGGATAGCAAACACCTGGGAACGCAGAAGCTGCAGTAGCCAATCCAGGCCGGTCAGTTTCTACAGATCAGCTGATGGCCTCCTAGAAAGCTGTCCCCATTTGGTCCCACTTGGTCATAACTCACCAGAATCTTGTTGGGTCAGATGTTACCAATTTGTTCTGAGGTTCACATTACATGAACATTCCTTCTGGTTTCAAAACGCCTGGAGACACAAAGTCCAGCATTCCATTGGAAATTTGCCCTGTTGGTTTTCTTTGATTACCATGGGAGGCTTCATCAGCTGTGGGCTCTGCTGTGGACTGGACACACCGCCTGTGTCCTCAGTGTACCTACCCATCACAGGGACCACTGGTCACATACTGGTCAGGACTGGGACAGAATGTGGTACAATTGAGTCACATAGCCTGGGTTTCCATCTGAACTGTCCATGTCACAGCAGTCCAGGTTGCTTCTCTCTGACCATCAAGCCTCTCATCGGCAAAATAAAGCAAACTTCTGCTCCAAAGGGCTGTTATAAGGATTAAATGACATAATCCAGAGGGAATGCCTAAACCTGTGCCAAGCACACAGTAGGTGTTCAAAAATGTGGGTTTCCTTTCTTTCTGCCTTCTTAGCCACAAAGCAGCCAAGGCAAAGTGCAGGGTGCAGGGAGTAAGCGTACCCCCTCCAGGAAAACGTGGCATAAACCCACTGGCTTTGTTGTGGCTAAAATGTGACACTGACTAACAATATTAGCGGGCCAGTCTCTGTGATACCCTACTAGCTAGTTAAGGTCCAACCAATAGGGGAAAGACTTATGTTTCCAGCAGTATGTGGATCATGTCCCATTAGTCAGGAGGCCGGGACTAGTCAACCAAAAGTGCTTAATTGCTCAATGTAGCAATTGTTATCCCGGCTTTACAGCTAAAGAAACCAAAATTCCACCCAAGTGACTCAGTTACTCACCCATGATCTCCCAGCACATTGCTGAGCTGGAATTCCAAACCAATTCCAGCTGGCCCCAAGGCCTTCTAACCTTCTGATTCCTGCGCATGAATTTGCAGGTATGGGTGTAGCTGGGATGCTCTGTGGGGACTATAGAAAGGAACGCCCACTCCCCTGGGCTGCCTGCCTGAGTGAAGTTGCAGAAGAGGAGGAGCCAGGATGGAGTGTTGGGGACCAGCCTGGTATATCCAGAGGGCAGCAGTGAAAAAAGGCTGGATAAGTCAGATCTTCAAGTGGCCAACAAACTGCCAACATTTATTTTTAGTTATCTATGTTTTTTACTTACCCAAGTACTACATGGATACATTCTTCTTAATGCATTAATGATAAAATTAAAATCTGTTTTTTCCATGAGCTTCAACCCCAGTTCCCTTTCCAAACCCCAGATAGCCCTTCTATCAGGTTGGTATGACTCTTTGATAATTGTGAACACACACACACGTGTGTGTGTGTGTGTGTGTGTGTGTGTGTGTGTGTTTGTATGCGCGTGTGTGTGCGCGTACAGACAGACCTCAGAGATAATGTGGGTTTGGTCCTAGACCAGTGCAATGAAGCAAATACCGCAATAGAGCGAGCCACAGAACTTTTTGGTTTCCCAATGCATATAAAAGTTATGTTTACATGATACTATAGTCTATTAAATGTGCGGTAGCATTATGTCTTTAAAAATGCACATAACTTAATTTAAAAATACTTCATTGCTCAAAAATGCTACCTATCATCTGAACCTTCAGCGAGTTGTAGGTGTTTTTTTTTTTTGTCAGTGGAGGATCTTACCTTCAATTTGTAAAAAAAAATGCAATATCTGTGACATCCAGTAAAGCGAAGCACAGTAAAGCAAGGTATGCCTGTGTGTGTGTGTGTGTGTGTGTGTGTGTGTGTGTACGATGGCCCCTCCCTCTGTCTTCAGAGCCAGCAGTGTTGCACGTTCTCTCTGCTTTGCTTCCATCGCCAGCTCTCCCCCTGCCTCTTCTGCCTCCCTCTTCTGTATTTAAGGACCCTGGTGATTACATTGGTCCAACTGTATAACCCAGGATGATCTCCCTGTCTGAAGGTCAGCTGATTAGCAACCTTAATCCCATCTACTACCTTCTTTCCCCTTTGCCACGTAGCTTATTCACAGTTCCCAGGGATTAGGACCTGGACATCTCTGATGGGTCATTATTCTGTCCACCATAAGCTCTTTTCTCTAAAGACGGAGGGTCAGTCTGGGTGAAAGGCCTCAACAGTTACATCTGCAGCCAGGTTGACCTTGACGTGAACAGATACAAAGTCAGAGAAGTTACGAGGGTGCTGGCTTCAGTGTCAGACAGGACAAGTCTGTCACCTGATGGAGCCTTTGTTTTGTCACCTGTGCAGTGGGGATGGGAACATGAAGATGATATGAGACAAAGCAAGTAAAATGATCGGCACCTCACACAGCTTAGTGAAGGTCGCCGCGTTCTTTACTCGCACCATTCAGGGCCACCTTTCTACCCCCCTTGCCCAGCCTCAGGAGCGAGTTTCTCGTTAGCCCGTCTTTAGCAGTTAGCAGTCAGCTAACATGGCTAGTTGTGTCTCACCAATAAAATGGTGCCTTTTTAGCCTTCCCCTGAGCAGTGACTCATATAGTGGCTGAACGTTATTATATTCTGACGCCCAGAGCTCATGCCTGACCTAATGTCAGTCTGCACCCTCATTTTCCCAGGTTGGTGGTTCGTCAGCACCGCTGAAGAGCAAGGCTGGGTCCCAGCAACCTGCCTCGAAGGGCAGGATGGTGTGCAGGATGAGTTCTCCCTCCAGCCTGAGGAAGGTAAGTCGCGCTTGAGCCTCGGGCTTGCTGGGGAGACCTGTGCCGGCTGTCGCCTTTGTGAGGGCCTCCTGACCCAGTCCCTGCCTTTCGCCTGTGCCTCCACGTCTCAGCTGCCTCCACGTCTCAAGAGCTTATGGACGTGAAGCTAGGCCATGGGGTCAGGGCTGAGGGGTCTTTTCTGAAGGTCCCAAAAGTCCTTTGGGGGCCGACCCAAGTGAAGCTGACAGTTGCTGGGCCCTTGGCACCTCCACGGGACCCCAGGAGGCCCCAGCCTATTCACTGTCAACATGGCACTTTCCCTCGAATGATTCTGATGGCCAAGTTGCTGGGGCTGCTTCCAGCTCAGTTGCAAGACACCTGAAGCCGTCTGTAAAGATCTCTGCTTTCTCTGTCGGTTTAATGGTCCTGACCGGGTGTCATGACAAGAGCGGACCGCCTTCACTTGCCACACACGCTCCTGTTTCCCAGAGAACTTTACCTACAGGTGTCCTGAAGGGTGGTACCTGCACGTCAGAAATCCTAAGGCCTACCTGACTCTCTTCCCCCCAGAAGCATTCCTAAAATTAGAGCATGAGTTCATCTTAGCTAATAAACAGAAGAGTTTGGGAGTCAGACAGCCTGAATTTGAATCTCAGCTGCACCACTTACTGGCTGAGGGAACTTGGCCGGAAACTTAAGCTCTCTGCAACTCAGCCACCTCCTTTAAAAATGGAAATGGCGAAGTCTACATCATGGATTTTTGTTTGTTTTTTAGTTAAATGAGATCCCACATGCAAAGCTCTTGGCAGAGAACCTAAAATAATAACTAGGAACAGTTGTTATCATATAGCTGTGCCTTGCCTGGGGTTGAAATTTGGGGCTTTTAGTTGACTGCTTTGAGAAAGCACAAAGCCACTTAAGTATACATCTATCGGATAAGAGGGTGCTCAGAGGTTAGTAAAATAATCGTATGGGGTTTTGCATTTAGTGGCCAACAGCCGTCAGAGTAAAGCATCTGTTGGTTTGCTCAGTGTTCGTAGGGCCCAGCAGGGGCTGGGCTCACGTGGGTATGCTACAGAATTGACTCAGATTACCGAGCGGCGGTGTGCTGCATGGAAACCACAGCTCTCTTAGACAGTTAATGATGACTACCACAGGCATGCCGCCGTAAGGGGCTGATTGTTATCCCCATTTTACAGATGAGAAAGCAGGCTCAGAAAGGCAGAGACACTTGCCTGGGGTCACACAGCTAGAAGATGGGCGAGAGACCATGTTTTCCTAAGAATTTGTACATTTTTCTTCCCCCTGCCAGAAGCACTTCTCTTAGTGCCTCTTTATAATCATGCCAGGAATAGAATTATGTCTACTGGATGCCTCTTCACTCAAGTTCAAGGTTAATACTCAGGAACTTGGTCCTTCTGAGACACCTGGCTTTGGCATAGACTCAGAAATAATTGCTCCTAAGTGAGAACACGTGGTTGGTGCCTTTTTTTTGCCTGGAGACACAGGAAGTGCTTTCTTCTCATCTCTGCCTTCTGCCCTTCGCCTCCACATGCTGCCCGTCCAGTCTCATGGAGGTACTGGTCTTTGCCCCGGCCCGTGGGCCGCCGCCGGACCCTGGGGGACTTGTATGCCATCAGCTGGCGTCAAGGTGTCTACCTCAGAGCTTTCTTCCCTGTTCGGTGTTTGGAGCAGGTCCCTGCGTCTGCATGCGCCTCCCTGCTCCGGGACTGCCTGTGCCTGTTGCATGTGAGAAACAGTGATCTCGTCTGTGCCGTGTGTGTGTTGCCGTGTCGGTTTGGGGAAGAGGAAGCCTGGGCTCTGAAGTTTTCCAGGTTAAAAAAACGATGTCTGGGGGCCTCTATAATGCTGAGCAAGTGACCTGCTCCTTTTGGTAGGTACATTTGAGTTGCAAGGGAAATAAACCCACTTCAAACTGGCTTTAGCGAAAAGGGAGGTATATTGACTCCTAGCACTGAAGAGCCCAGGGTAGGGCTCGTCCAGCTTCAGGCATGGCTGGATCCAGGCGCTTGAAAAGCATCCTTGGGGCCTGAGAACTCACTCTCGTCACCTCTCTGCTCCGTTCTTGACCTTGCTTGAACCATTCTCTCATGGTGACAGTATTTCTAGGCACCCTTCAGGGACACCCACCAAAGAAAGTGCTTCTCCTTCAACACAAATCCCAGCATTGATTTCAACTGATCCATTTGCGCCATGCCATCCCTGAAGTAAATACAGGGGCCAGGGGGATGCCAGGCCAGGATCACGCACCCTCCTCTCACTTTAGGAGGTGGTGAGGTCAGTCTCACCCAAACCGTGTGGACAGAGGCTGGTAGCAGCACCAGAGGAAGGGCAGATGGGTGCTAAGCGGTGGCAGTGCCAGCAGGCACCCACCATGCAGTCTACAAAGTCTTCCACCTTAAGCTTTGTTATAGATCACTGAGCTTCCCACGGAACCCACAGACGCCTCTGCGTGCTAGAGAGTCCCTCTGGGCAGTTGAGCTGCAGGGTGCCAGCCCCAGGAGTCCAGGGCCTGTAGGACTGACTGTGCTTAGTTTCGGACCCAAGCAGCACCGCTTCTCACCCAACCATACAGAACTGTGCATTCATCCACAGGGTTGAACGATCCCCACAGCCCTCCGAGCACCCACACCCCACCCTGCAGCCTCTGTGAGCATGGGGAACAGCTGACTCTGCTGTGCACAGGATATGTGCGACTTGAGTCAGCTCGGCCCCCACGGAGCGGGTCAGTGGGCTAGATCAATAAATAAACAAACGCACTGTGTGTTCTCTGCCTCCCTCTACACCAGCTGGGCAGGCCACAGACAGCCCGCAGTGTTTTCCCAGAGAGCCAGCCCTGACACACTAACCATGCGCACCAGCCCACAGCCAGCTCGGTCACTCCCTGGGGGCCAGGATGTAACCAAAACAGGAAAGCCCTCTGGGCTCCCCTGGGACACTCATCTGCTCTCCTGCTTCGCAGTCGTTGCTGATGGTGTTGGGGGTGGCAGTTACTCTCTTGCTCCCTGGAGGGCCCTGCCTGAGTGTGACAATGTGCAACCCTTTCAGCTGAGCCCAGGCCTGAGGGACATAGATGAAACTGGAGGCAGCTCCCTAGGAGGAGGGTAGGGCCATTTGGGAGAAGGAATGCGGCAACCAGAGAAAATGGGTGGACGGCACCCCAGTCACATGAATTAAAGTTGAAGCAGGCAGTCATTTTGTCATATATATATATATATATATATATATATATATATATGGTATATAGTTATAATATATGTGGTATATAGTTATAATATATATGTAATCATTATGTTATACACCTAAAATAATACAATGTTCAATTATATCTCGATAAAAAATTAATTAAAAAAATTAAACTGAGCTTCAGTCATGGTTGGATCCAGGGGCTTGGAAATAATGAATGAAAAATGAAGATTGGGTACTAGCTAGGTAATGAAAATTACCGGCTGTCTCTTTGGTACTGATTTCAGCTGGAGACCACGGGCTGCCAAATCCAGCTCATCCCTGAGCCGTCCACCAGCGAGAGGAGCCAGAGGGTTTAACCTCCTCTGCCATGGGCGAGGTGGCTCCCACCAGGCCCTCGGGACCTGTTCATTTACTAACCAGTTACTAAATATCCCTGGTACCATGCCCAGGAATGAATGAGACAGAAGCAAACCCCTGCCTTCAAGGCATTTGTATTCTAGCAGGGGGAACAGACCCGAAACACAATAAGTAATAGAGTATGCGGTGTATTGGAATGTCATTCCTGTATGGGAGGGGGAATAAAGCTGGCTGAGGGGGAGAAGCATGCCAAACGTCTGACTAGGGCATAAAGCAAGGGCAAGGAAGGTGACCTTGAAGGCACAGGTTTGAGGAGGGTGAGGGTGACTCTGTGAGAGATTGCAGAGGGATTGGAACCTGCCCTTTGTCCTGTGTTTCATTGCTGCTTGCGCAGGGTCATCCAGGGCTAAGTGAGGGCCTTGAGCGGGGGCACAGAAATCTCTGGAGGAAACGCTTCCCTCCAGCGAGCAAGGGCATCTCATGGTCACAGCCTTGGCCATCAGCTTCCTGGGACTCTCAGTGTCCTTGACTTACTCCAGCATCCCTTTGTTCCCGCAGAGGAGAAGTACATGGTCATCTACCCCTACACGGCTCGCGACCAGGATGAAATGAACCTAGAGAGAGGGGCCGTGGTGGAGGTCATCCAGAAAAACCTGGAAGGCTGGTGGAAGATCAGGTACCTGCTGCAGCTGGGTGGGCTTCAGGTCACGTGGGCTCCAGCTGCACAGAGGTCTGTAAGCCATTGCCGATGGGGTGAGGTTTCGGCCTGACCCATAAAAGGATGCTTCTTTGTGCTGCTTGGCTTCCTTTCCTCCCCAGATCCTTCTCTCAAAATCCATAATAAGCAAAACCTTCTCTAAACACGACGAACCCCAGATAGGAGTAACCCTGTTGAGCAAGACTGGTCTCCACTTCCAGATGTTTCTCGTAACACGTGGAGGCCGAGCTGTCCTGTATGTGATTTCCTACCCCAGCCCTCCCCGGAGACTAATGCGATGCATAACCCCACAGGGACTGACACTCCTCCTAGAGCCGATC